TGTCTGGATTTTCTTTAATGGGCAGTAATGTTTTGATATTTGATTACATGAATTCTATAGGAGTTTTGCAAAAACTCCTGTATATCCTGGCTCCTCCCTTATCTCTTTGGAACAGCCCCTCAGAGCTTTCTGAGAGGCTATATCCCAGGCTTAAGTCCTCATTAATGCCCCAATAAAACACAATTCTCAACTTTTAGGTTGTGCTTTTTTTTAAAAGTCAACAGAAGCATCCCTGGCCTCTAATCACTTAATGACAGTAACACATGTTTTAATGACCAAAAATCATCTCCACAAGTTGCCAAATGTTCCTGTGGGAGAGTATTAACCAAAATCACTTCTGGTTAAGAACCACTACTCTAGAGTGCTCAGTCCATAGTCAACTAGTTCCACTCCCAGTCTCAGAGCTTCCAAACAGCTTTGAGTTCATCATTCTCAAACATAAGCAGACAACCAAAGATCACCAGACATTTGGAGAATGCCTCTAAAATGAAGGCCAAATAAGAGAAAAATAACTTGGAGAAAACACTATGAAAGAAAAAGAAAAATTTTAAAACATCATCCTTAGCACAACAGAAGATATTATGTTCATGGAACAATAGGAATAACCATATAACAAGAAGATGTTAAAAGAACATACTTTCAGAAGGGAAAAAAAAATTCTTGGAAGTCTTAAAAGTACAAATGAAAGCCTAAACACATGGGTTGGAAGATAAAGTTAAGTACATCTCACCAAAAAATAACAGAGAAAAAGGTTTGTTTTTTGTTTTTTTTTTTTAAAGAAGGAAAATCCATTCAAGATGTCAAGTATCCAAGTAATGAAAGTTACAGAGAAAAGGAAATCATCAACAAATTGCTTAAATTTCCCAGAATCACATTATACTGTACCCAACGCAATTGTTGCCAAAACAATCTATTTCAAGGCACATAACCATGACATTTCAGAACACTAAAGGTAAAGAAATTATTCTATAAAATTTCAAAGAAAAAACCAATTACATACAAAAAGTCAGGAATCAAAAGAATTGTGGATTTGACAGCAACACTGAAAACTGGAAAACAGAAAAATTCTAAGGAAATTTATTTCCAACCTAGAATTCTATACTTAAACTGCCAATCAAACATGAGTACAGAATCTCATACAGGGAAAGAAGTGAAAAATCTTCTTCCAGAATGTTAATTAAGAGAGATTCCAGGAATATAACTACACATAAAATGTTCAGTTCAGTTCAGTCACTCAGTCCTGTCTGACTCTTTGCAATCCCATGGACTGCAGCATGCCAGGCTTCCCTATCACCAACTCCCAGAGCTTGCTCAAACTCATGTCCATCAAGTCCGTGATGCCATCCAACAATCTCATCCTCTGTTGTCCCTTCCCCTCCCATCTTCAATCTTTCCCAGCATCAGGGTCTTTTCCAATGAGTCAGTGCTTTGCATCAGGTGACCAAGTACTGAAGCTTCAGTTTTAGCATCAGGTCTTCCAATAAATATTCAAGACTGATTTCCTTTAGGATGGACTGGTTGGATCTCCTTGCAGTCCAAGGGACTCTCAAGAGTCTTCTCCAACACCACAGTTGAAAAGCATCAATTCTTTAGTGCTCAGCTTTTTTCATGGTCCAACTCTCACATCCATACATGATTACTGGAAAAACCATAGCTTTGACTAGATGGACCACTGTCAGCAAAGTAATGTCTCTCCTTTTTAATATGCCATCTAGTTTGGTCATAGCTTTTCTTCCAAGGAACAAGCATCTTTTAATCTCATGGCTACAATCACCAGCTGCAGTGATTTTGGAGCCCAAGAAAACAAAGTCTGTCACTGTTTCCATTGTTTCCCCATTTATTTGCCATGAACTGATGGGACAAGATGCCATGATCTTCGTTTTTTGAATGCTGAGTTTTAAGTCAACTTTTTCAGTGTCGTCTTTCACTTTCATCAAGAGGCTCTTTAGTTCCTCTTCACTTTCTGCCATAACCCTGGTGTTATCTGCACATCTGAGGTTATTGATATTTCTCCCGTCAGTCCTGATTCCAGTTTGTGCTTCATCCAACTCAGCACTTTGCATGAAGTATTCTGCATATGTTAAATAAGCAGGATGACAATATACAGCCTTGACATACTCTTTTCCCGATTTGGAACCAGTCTATTGTTCCATGTCCAGGTCTAACTGTTGCTTCTTGATCTGCATACAGATTTCTCAGGAGGCAGGTAAGGTGGTCTGGTAATCCTGTCTCTTTAAGAATTTTCCACAATTTGTTGTGATCCACACAGTCAAAGACTTTAGCATAGTCAATGAAGCAGATGCTTTTTTCTGGAATTCTCTTATTTTTTCTATGATCCAATGGATGTTGGCAATATTATCTCTGGTTCCCCTGCCTTTTCTAAGTCCAGCTTGAACATCTGGAAGTTCTCAGTTCAAATACTGTTGAAGCCTTGCTTGGAGAATTTTCAGCATTACTTTGCTAGTGTGTGAGATGAGTGCAATTGTGAGGTAGTTAGAACATTCTTTGGCATTGCCTGTCTTTGGGATTTGAATGAGAACTGACCTTTTCCAGTCCTGTGGCCACTGCTGAGTTTTCCAAATGTGCTGACATATTGAGTGCAGCACTTTAACGGCATCACCTATTAGGATTTGAAATAGCTCAACTCAGCTGGAATGCCATCACCTCCAGTAGCTTTGTTTGTAGTGATGCTTTCTAAGGCCCACTTGACTTTGCACGCCAGACTATCTGGCTCTAGATGATTAATTTCCCATTCATGGTTATCTGGGTCATGAAGATCTTTTTTGTATAGTTCTTCTGTGTATTCTTGCCACCTCTTCTTAATAGGTCCAGGAAGAGTAGGTGGATGTGGTGTAGACAGGGAAAATGAAACAGAACTAAATTCTTATTTTCAACTGTAAAAACCAAATGAGGCTCTGTGGGACCCCCAGGCGTGGAAGTCCTTGTGTCCCCCATTTCTCACAGGCAAGACTCCAGCCTCCATGACCTACCCTGAAACCTAGACAGTGTGTTAAAAAGCAGAGACATTACTTTGCTGACAAAGGTCTGTATAATCTAAGCTATGGTGTTTCCAGTAATCATGTATGGATGTGAGAGCCAGGGATAAAAAAGGCTGAGTGCCAAAGAATTTATGCCTTCAAACTGTGAAGCTGGAAAAGACTCTTGAGAGTCTCTTGGACAGCAAGGAGATCCAACCAGTCAACCCTAAAGAAAATCAACCTTGAATATTCATTGGAAAAACTGATGCTGAAGCTGAAGCTCCAGTACTTGGTCACCTGATGACCAAGTAGGAGGAGAAGGGGATAATGGACTTGAGAGACATGAGTTTGAAAAAACTCTGGGAGATGGTGAAGGACTTGGAAGCCTGGTATACTGCAGTTCATGGGGTTGCAAAGAGCTGGATAGGACTGAGTGACTGAACAACAATCAAGGGAGAAGCAGCCAAGTAACTATCAGAGGCAAGACTAAAGGGATCATAGAAACTAATCAAGATTAGGAGACCAACCACCTGAGACAAGGTTAAGGGAGTGTAAGCCCTGCTGGTGTTTGTTGCTCAGTTGCTAAGTCCAGGACTCCCTGGACTTAGAGAGTTTGAGAGTTTGCTCAAACTCATGTCCATTGAGTCAGTGATGCCATCCAACCATCTCATCCTCTGTTATCCCCTTCTCCTCCTGCCCTCAATCTTTGCCAGCATCAGGGTCTTTTCCAATGAGTCAGCTCTTTGCATCAGGTGGCCGAAATATTAGAACTTCAGTTTCACCATCAGTCTGTCCAATGAATATTCAGGACTGAGTTCCTTTAGGATTACCTGGCTGGATCTCCTTGCTGTCCAAGGGACTCTCAAGAGTCTTCTCCAGCACCACAATTTGAAAGCATCTGTATACACTTTAATTTTGTCAGAGACCGTACTCTTGGACCATTATTATAAAAGCCCTGACCAAACTCCCCTTGGTTGGGATGCATAGTTTTTCAGGACAGGAATCCACTGTGTTCTCCTTTGCCTGACAAATCAATAAAGCTATTCTTTTCTACTTCACCCAAAACTCTGTTTCTGAGATTCAATCCAGCATGGGTGCAGAGAAGGCAAGCTTTCAGCATCAATAGTAGGAAGTTTACTTTGTCTATCGAAAATTTTAGAAATTAACAAGTAGCAATATAAACATGCTATTTTCAGTCATGAAGATAAATATCAAGTAATCAGCTAAAACATTTGAAATTTTTGCCTCTGGAGAAGCTGAGAGGAGGATTAGGCAAGAGGCTGCTTTTCTTTTTTTTTTTCTAGCAAGATTTACAGAGCTACATAATCCTTAAAATTATGTACATAGATAATCTTGATCAAATGACATTTGGACAAATGAAACAAGAGTAAAGAATGACGATGTGCAAGAGGAAAACATCAAAAACAATGTACTTAATGAAGAAAAACTAAACAATGAGTGATAGAGAAAAACATACTATGGTTTTTTAAACAGTCAATGTCAGGATGTCAGAATGACCACAAATTGCAAATTAAATATTATCTTTTTTTTAGTGTTACTACAAGTTGACTACATTGCAAGATATTAAGAGAAAGATAAAAACAGAAAAATTATGAGATTGTAATATCAGATAATTGTGTGAAAATGTTAGTCACTCAGTCGTGTCTGACCTTCTGTGACCCCATGGACTGTAGCCCACCAGGCTCCTCTGTCCATGGAATTCTTCAAGCAAGAATAGAATAGGTAGCCAATTTCTTCTCCAGGGGATCTTTCTGACCCAGGGATTGAACCTGGGTCTCCTGCCTTGTAGGCAGATTCTTTATCATCTGAGCCATCAGGGAATATAATTATAATATTGATTTTCAGGTATATTCAGGGTGCTATATTAAATTTTTATCTCTCTGATTTAAGAGTGTAAAGGGTTTAAAGAAGTCTTTCAAAACTCATATAATAAAATCTATAAATTAGTACTTAAAGACAATTTGTAAACAAAACTTGCTATAGCAACAAGAGATCACTTACAAATATTCTCATACTCTTGCTGTAGTTCATCCAAAGTAAATATAATATCTCCAATATCCACCATTTGATTACCTGTAATACAAAGAATTCCTGAGTTTAGACACTGTATTTCCTTTTGAACACAATACAGCTGCTATCCTATTCTAAGATTAAAACACCACATAAATATGTGCAAGTAGGAAAAAAGGTCCAGCTATTATGGGCTTTGAACAATATCTGGAAGTATGAATTAGTAATTCATTATACACTGAAACATAAGACTTCATTAATATGACAAAATGAAGAAATCTTGTTCTTCCTGGCTGGGGGAGATGGAATAAGGACTGAGAATTATTAATTCTTTCAACACTGTTTCAGCGGTTAATATCTGCCATATTCACTGTGCTATATACTGAGGATACAATATTGAGCAAAAGTAGACACGATATCTGCTCGCCTGGTGCTTAACTAGTGTTAATTAATACACAAACCTTAATCAAACAGTTTAAAATATAAATTGCAACTGAGATCAATCCTGTGAAAGTGTACAATATGAGAATATGACCTAGTCAGAGAGGTCAGGGAAACATCTCCAAAAAACAGAGTGTAGTTTAAAGTATTAAGCAGGACCCTGAGGAAACCATCATTTAAAAAGATATATGTACCCCAATGTTCATTGCAGCACTATTTACAATAGTAGCTAAAACATGGAAACAACCTAGATGTCCATTGACAGATGAATGGATAAAGAAGTTGTGATACATATACACAATGGAATATTACTCAGCTATTAAAAGGAATGTACTTGTGTTGGCTCACATGATGTGGACAAATCTAGAGCCTATTATACAAAATGAAGTAAGTCAGAAAGAGAAAAACAATATCATATACTAATGCATATATATGGAATCTAGAAAGATGGTACTGATGAACATATATGCAGGGTAGCAGTGGAGATGCAGACATAGAGAACAGACTTGTGGACATGGGGTGGAAGAAAGGGTGGGACAATGGAGAGAGTAGCATGGAAACATTTACATTACCATATGTAAAGCAGATAGCCAGTGGGAATTTGCTGTATGACGCAGGGAGCTCAAACCTGTGCTCTGTGACAACCTAGAGAGGTGGGGGGGTGGGAGGGGGGAGGGAGGTTCACAGGGAGTAGACATATGTACACTCATGGCTGATTCATGTTGATGTATGGCGGGAACCAATACAATATTATAAATCAATTATCCTTCAGTTAAAAATAAATAAATTTTTTTAAAAAAATAAATATTTCCCTGATAGCTCAGTTGGTAAAAAAATCCGCCTGCAATGCAGGAGACCACAGTTTGATTCCTGGGTCAGGAAGATTTGCTGGAGAAGAGATAAGCTACCCATTCCAGTATTCTTGGTCTTCCCTTGTGGCTCAGCTGGTAAAGAATCTGCCTGCAATGCGGGAGACCTGGGTTCAATCCCTGGATTAGGTAAGTCCCCTGGAGAAGGGAAAGGCTACCCACTCCAGTATTCTGGCCTGGAGAATTCCAAGGACTGTATAGTCCATGGGGTCACAAAGAGTCAGACATGACTGAGCGACTTTCACTTTCACTTTTCAAATATAAGCAGGAATAACTAGGAGGAGAGGAATATTCCAAGAAAAGAACAGAATATGTTTAATGGCTGTGGCAGGAGGAGAGCAGTATAAGGTTGAAACTCGAAAAAGGCACAGACAGTAAGGGAGAATGTGGTCTGAGATAAAGCTAAGATCCAGGTAAAGGCCAGACTTTGCAAAGCCTTGTATATTAAAGAGGTATTATTAGATTTTATACAAAGAAGGTAACATGACCAGATGTTTCTTTTGAAAAGATCTTTCTGGCTACAGTGTAAAGGGAGATTAAGACTGGATATGGGCAAAAGTGAAAAGTGAAAGCCATTCAGTCATGTCCAACTCTTTGTGACTCCATGGAATTCTCCAAGCCAGAATAATGAAGTAGGTAGCCTTTCCCTTCTCCAGGGGAGCTTCCCAACCCAGAGATCAAACCTAGGTCTCCCACATTTCAGGCAGATTCTTTACCAGCTGAGCCACAAGGGAAGGCCAAGAATACTGGAGTGGGTGGCCTATCCCTTCTCCAGGGGATCTTCCAGACCCAGGAATCGAACCAGGGTCTCCTGCATTGCAGGCAGCTTCTTTACCAACTGAGCTATCAGGGAAGCCTGGATATGGGTAGACTTGTTAGAATATGGGTAGACTTTCAATTGTCCTAAGGAAAAATTAGCAATGCTGAAAACAGGAAGATTTAAGAGATATGTAGGATTTTAAAATAATAGTACTTCATAATAATTTCACATAGAAAACAGAGCTGTCAAGGATGATTCTTAGGTTTCTGCTTCACATTTCTTGAGCCTGTTCTAGGTGCCAAACAGTGATAAATTTTTATATCTACATCCTACAATAATCCTATGAAATTAGTATTATTTGTCTAATCCATGTCTCCATATAATGTGGGTGACCTAGAAGCCCAGACTAGAATTTCATAAGACAAAAAGCAAGGCAATGCAGTAGTTTCATATATGATTTCTGTTGCTCCTGGTAGAGCATGCCCTGAAGGCTATTTAATATGACTTAAGATTAGTCTTTAAAATTCCAATTTATATACATCTTCATGCTCCAATACATATCTCTCCATTCATGTCTATCACCCAAGAGCCCACCATAAATGACTACCTACTGAAACTGCATGCAGCCTGCTTCTACCTCCAGACTACACTTCACCAATCAAAGGCCTACTATAAAGCCACCACTACCAAATGACAAAATCCAGTATAATCCCACCAGAAAGGATGCCATGTCTGATTATTTTCCTGCCACATTTACACAAACTGTTCCCTCAGTCTAAAAAGTTTCACCCTCCACCACCATCTGCAACTAACTCCTACAAATCCTTCAACATTTAGCTCAGACATCACCTCCTATGCTTCCAATATGCATAAATACACTCTATAATAGTATTTGCTACATATATTATCATAATTTTCAGTTTATTTGCCTTTTTCTACATCAGAATGCACGCTCCTTCAGAACAATAAATATGTTTTATTCATCTGTATATCACCTACCATAGTTTCAGGCACAGTAGATATTAAATGGCTATCTGACTCATTAAATGAATGGATAAATCAATTAATCAATCACTAATCAATCCATTATTATAGGACATCTCTTGGTCACATGTAAACACTTAATATAAAACATATGCTAAACATACAGTTTAAAGAGAATGTAATTGTACAGCACAGGAAGATTCTGTAATCAAAGTTACAAAACAAAGTTGGAAATTAAAGAAATTTAGGTCTCCTAACTTGTGGAGTCAATGCTCTTGATACCACAGAAACTACCTCTCCAAAAAAACAAGAAATGACAATTGGAAAAGAGAGATAACATTGAAAATAAAAAAATTCCATTTTTCTCTTATATTTTTGCCAAACATATCAAAATATAACAATTAGAAATTTCTCACTTAATTTTTCTAGACCAACTTTTATCATAGGTAAGCAGTGTCATGGCAAAAGGCAAGAATCAAGTAGAAAAAGGAGAAGTAAAGGATGAGTCAGAAAAATTGGTAGCCAAGAAAGAAATACGTATACATCAATTCAAATAACTCACTGTTGATATTAGCGTATTTTACCACTTCCTGCAAAGTTTCAGGGACTACCAAGATATCCATGCTATCCAACACTTCATCCACTTCAGAAACTGAAACTTGACCACCTTTTATCCTGTGAAAAATCTTCAAGGCATTCTGAAATGCTGCAAAAGTACAATAAACAAAGAAATTACTGTACAATGACAATCAACATCTTTCCCTGGAAGAGCAGATTTTGGTCTGGGAAAAATAAATTTGGGGATTTCTAAAAATTTACCTGCAAGTAGGCATTTGCCCAATTCTAGCCATATTCTTATAAAATGCAATGCTTGCTACTATACTATTATGCTGCTAAAATAATATTATCAATAATAACTGGTTTTTACTGAATTCTGTCTATGTGCCAGGAACTGTGCTAAAAATTACGGGCTATATAATTCCATTATCACAATCAGCCTATAAAATAAAATTTTTCATTATCCCTACATTACAGATAAGGAAACTAAGTCTCAGAAAGTCTCTTGATTGCACTGTAAGTATATGGAACAGCCAGAATTCTAATCCAAACTGTTTGTTCTTAATCATTATGTTATACTCACCTCTTAGTTAAAACTTTTAGCTATAACAATTTTTTACCAGTTATATAATCTAGAATAGCAAGACACTTTAATCCAAAATTGGGGGCAGTTATTAATTACTTTGAAGTGTAATTGAGGAAAGATACTGTAAAAGAAAGAAGAATGGTGTAAATACAGAATTTTTCTTCAGATTTTGTATATACTACAAAGAATTTGACAATGGTTTGACCACTATCAAAATGTCTATTTATCCATAGAAATTTCTTAACTGTCCTTGACATCAAAAGTGAACTGGGAAGAACATGGTTTAAAAAAAAAGTGAACATAATAATGAAGAGAATTTCCCCCCAAAAGAAGGCTTCCTTAAAACCTAAACAGTTATCTGTATCCAAATGCTACATTTAAGATATTTAAGTGTAACTTAGACCACTATATCCCTTAATTTATCTTGATAAGGAAACACAATTCAAATAATTCCAGAGTGCAAATCTCTTTGTAGTCAGACTAGATTTCCTTGGCATTCAGCATATAGTAAACAAAATGATCTACAAGTGCTTAGATAAGCACAGTAGAAGAGGAAGAACTGAGCACTACTCATTCAACTAGTAGTTATTAATCAAGTGAGCAAAAACAGCAAAGGAAGGAGAACAAGATGGCGGAGAAGTAGGTGGACTGTGGAGTACACCTCTCTCCAAGGATGCATCAGGAATACATCTTCAGACACAGAAGTGCATGCAGAACACCAGCTGAGAACAAACAGGAGTACCTGACCAGTGGAAAGGAATATATAGAACCATGCAAAACTCTATACTACGAAAGATCTAGGGGGGAAAAACAGGAGAGTTAGCAGGACTGGACCACTGCCTTCAGTGGGTGGGGTAACTGAAGCAGGGGTCTGATCCCCACAGTGGGGCAATTGTCTGAGTCAGAGAAGAAACATTTATGGCTGAGAGTGAAACAGCTGATCTGTGGCAGCCTAAATGGAATGAGAATCAGACGGTCCTTGCCACAGGCATTAACACCCCGGACAGGAATGCTGGTCTCCTGGAAGGCACAGCAGCTGGGAGCTGGAGTTTATGGGTTGTGGAGCAATCCCAGGGCGAAGGCTGCTATTGACTTCAGAGAGATAGATTGAAGGGATGTGAGGGAGATCATGGTGGGAAATGCCAATGGAGGAAAGTGAGGCAACCATGGAAGCAATGTAATACTGCTGAGTCACGTGTAGGGGGTGGAGCCATCACCATAGCCTCTCTCTCCCCACCCGCCAGCATTGGCAGCTAAACAATAGAGAGGCTGGCCCATCAAATCCCTGATGCCATGAACTACAAAGTAGGACCCCACCCAGGGTGCCCATTTAAGTGCCTGACATCTATCTACAGAGTAGGACCCCAGCCAGGGGGGCCCCTCCATGTGCCTGACATGCTAAACAACAGAGAAGGACCCCAGGCAAGGGAGCCCTCTTAAGTGCCTGAATGGGCAGAGCTACAGAGAAAGACTGGCCAAAGAGGCCTTCTGATTGCCAGCTGCAAGAGGCTTGGAAAAAAGACTCTGATAGGGCCATAACTCCTGCGGCAGAGGCAGTCCGTGTCCCCGCACACTTGTGCCGCCAGGGTCCCCGCAAGCCAAGCAGCTGCGCCACCTTCACACTTAAGTCTCACTGGGACACAGCTACCACATGCAAAAAAATGTCTTGCGTCTATGCACACAGGGTCACTTCGGTCATGTCCGACTCTGAGACCCTGTAGACTGTGGCCTGCCAGGCTTCTCTATCAGAGAGGGGGGTTCTCCAGGCAAGAATCCTGCAGCATATCGGCTGATACTGGTTGCCATACCCTTCTAGAGCACTATATTTCCTGCTGCCTTAGCCACCACAACCCCCCTGAGTACCTAGTGCTGCCAGAACTGTGACCCAAGCGGCTGCACCACCTCCACACCTGGCCCTCACAGGGGGAAACCCAAACCCTCCAGGGCAGGGTTTAGCCTCAGGAGCTAAACTCCAGTGGATGACCCACATGTAGAGGTGGAAATAAAACCACAATTGAAACCCAGGGGCAGTGTGGCTAAGGAATAAGACCCCAAACCTTCCCACCATCTGTACAAGCTGCAGATTAAATCCACAAGATCAACTAAACAGACTCTGTGTCAATGGAATATATAAAAGGCCATTGAGAGCTCCCATTAAAAAAAAATGCACTAGTTCTGATAGCTCCAATGGACACTGGAGGCAAGAACACACAGGAGTAGGACCAGATGAGAATCTGAGCTGCCCCCACAGCAGGTCCAAGATCAGCACAGTGTTGGAGGGCATCCTAGGGAGGTAAGGTGGACTGTGACTCCCAGCGAGGGAAAGGACTCTGACAGCAGTGGCTCAAGAAAAACATTTATTATTCTTATCTTTTTTAACTTTTTCTGTAGATAACTGTGGATTTTGTTTTCTTTTTCTTTTTTCCTTCCTCTGTTGTAGTTGTTGGGTTTTTTTTTTTTATTAGTTGGAGGCTAATTACTTTACAACATTGCAGTGGGTTTTGTCATACATTGACATGAATCAGCCATGGATTTACATGTGTTCCCCATCCCGATCCCCCCTCCACCTCCCTCTCCGCCCGATCCCTCTGGGTCTTCCCAGTGCACCAGGTCCGAGCACTTGTCTCATGCATCCAACCTGGGCTGGTGATCTGTTTCACCCTAGATAATATACATGTTTCGATGCTGTTCTCTTGAAACATCCCACCCTCGCCTTCTCCCACAGAGTCCAAAAGTCTGGTCTATACATCTGGAGCCCATTATACAGAGTGAAGTAAGCCAGAAAGATAAAGACCATTACAGTATACTAACACATATATATGGAATTTAGAAAGATGGTAACGATAACCCTATATGCAAAATAGTTGTTGGTTTTATTGGCACTAAGAAATCCAATTAGTTCAGGATGGGGAACACATGTACACCCATGGTGGATTCATGTCAATGTATGGCAAAACCACTAAAATACTGTAAAGAAATTAGCCTCCAATTAAAGTAAATAAATTTTAAAAAAAGAAAGAAAGAAATCCAATTAAGCTTTTGAGCTTTTTGTTTTTCTCAGTCTCATTTTTTATTGTTGTCATAAACCTCTGCCTCTATGTTGGGCTTTTGTAGTTCTGTGGAGTTTTCCTCCTTTTTTTTTTTTAATTTTCTTTTTAATTTTAATGTTTTAAACCTATTAATATTTTTTATACATTCATTCCTTTGTTTGCTTTTCCTACTGTTTCTTCCCTTTGCAGTTAATCTTTAATGTATACAAATCTTCTTCATCTACCTCTATTTAACTTTGCATATCTATTCTTTCTTTTCTTTCTCTCCTTCCCTCTCAACATATTTGTCAGTTTTATTTTCATTGCTTTATTCCCCCAACTGGCCCTTGCTTTAGTTTTGTTTTCCAGTTTGTGCTTTGATTAGTTTTGTTCTGGTAGATATAATTTTTGTTTTCCTTTGTTTGCCAGGTCAATCTATTGTACTTTATTTTTGTTGGACTGTTTTGATTTTGCTTATGGGTATATATGTATATGTGTATATTCAGTCACACTTTCTATTGCTGTTATAAACCTCTGCTTCTACATTGGGCTTTTGTAGTTCTGCGGAGTTTTCCTTTTTTCTTTCTTCTTTTGATTTTTTTCTTTTCTAGTTTTTATATTTTTAATTTTTAAAACCTATTATATTTTTCTACATTTATTCCTTTGTTTGCCTTTCCTACTGTTTTTTCCCTTTGCAGTTAATCTTTAATGTATATAAATCTTCTTCATCTACCTCTATTTAACTTTGTTTATCTATTTTTTCTTTCTTTCCTTTTCTCCCAACATATTTGTTCGTTTTTTTTTTTCATTGCTTTATTCTCCACTTGGCACCTTGATTTAGTTTTGTTTTCCAATCTGTACTTAAGTTAGTTTTGTTCTTAACTGGTAAATATAATTTTTTATTTCCTTTGTTCACCAGATCAGTCTACTGTACTTTATTTTTGTTGGACTGTTTTCACTTTGCTCATGGGTGTATATGTATGTGTATATTCCATTATTTTAGTTATTATTTGCCTGATTTTGTAACTGCCATTTGTCTGAGGTTCATCTTTGGTTTCTTGTTTTTGGATATTTGCTTTAATCTCACCTAATGCCATAACAAACCACTTGTGGAATCTTCATTCCTGACCACAGACCAAGTCCTGGGCCTTTGGAGTAGGAACACTGACTCCAAGACCTAGACTATCTGAGAACTAACCCTAGGGAGTATCAAATAGTGAGAACTCACACAAAGGAAACCACTGGAATACAAGACCCGGCATCACCCAACCACCAGTAGCACACTGTGCAGGACGCCTCACCTAAACAACAAACAAAACAAAAACAAACCCAATCATCAGCAGACAGGATCACCACCTCACTTAGCCTTGCCCATCAGAGGAAAAACAAACAAACAAACAAAAACTCAGCACAAATCTCACCCTATACAAAGCCCACACAAACCACAGGACCAACCTTAGAAGCACAGAAACCAAAAGGAAGAAAGAATTCAACCTTCTTCAAGGAAAGAATTCAACTTCCCTTGAAGCCTGG